ATTAGAAAAAAAACTTACAATGGGAGAAAGTGGTCACAAACCAATCCGGTTGAGCAGGTAATGTAGTCAAACTAACCACCTCACCGTCTGGATGGGCGAAGGTCTGTTTGGCGAGGTGGGTTGGATGCACACTATTCGACTCGATCAAAGTGACCAGAGTGACCTGTGTCAACGAGAGAACAAAAAGAAGAAAGGAACCTTGAGTTGCCAAATGACGGGTCACTGAGTGAGGCATAAGGGATCGCTGCGCCGTCAAATTGAGCACTATAAAATGAACTAGTATACCCCAGATGACACAACACCCAACGTAATACAACGTAATGGGGTCGACGAACTAGGGAGATTACGGCACTTCAAGTTCAAGAACCTACGATGTGTCGTAGGATATTGTATAATTATAAACAATTTAGAGATAATCAACAAATGATGTACAAGCGAAAAGTGAGGCAGTTGTATCAGATTCCCATCGAAGTCGACGATACTGGAAATGATCAAACAGAAATTTGCGTTCTTTCAGAGTATGTCTTGTGATACAGACTTCACGAATTCGTTGCCAAACTTTGAGGACATTCAACTATGGATTTCACACTTGAACGGCGTATTCCGTGTGTGGCGAATAAACACTGGTGGGAAGCGTGGGAACTGTGCTATTTCGAACTACCCGAAGGCACGTTTAAGTATTCAGGTAATGAATAGCTAGAAAGTAACTTGCTCTAGTTAGGAAAAGAAACATTGCATTCATAAATAAGTCATAGAACTATCAATTTAGAAATTGCGGAAAGATTGGTTGTTCCGCTGGGATTCGAACCCGCAAATGGAAACTGTTTGGGTCTTTATGCAACATGTGGTTCACTAGCAGAGCTATGAGACTATAAAGATTGCTATGATCTTTTCGAATTCGGTTACCCGAAAACTTACACAGTAGCATGTACTTCATCTATTAGAAAACAGACGATTCGTTTGGGTGAACTCCTCTGTGGCTTTTCCGCCAAAACAATATACAGAAAGATCATGGTATGAATTTATTGTAATTGACATCCTCGTATCATAATTAATTCCGCAGTTCGAATTCAAAGTGGCATTAGAAATGATTGGAATCACGTCTTGCGATCGGCCGATTTGACTCTCTGAGAGCGCGCAGATTCAGTTTTAGTAATCACAAGGTATAAACTTAATACTGGAAAATCAGAGACGTTTGAATCACCAAATGAAATGGCCATGGAAGCTTAATACATAAGTTTACTGAGGCCCACGTTATGCCTATTTTACCGTATTGCTTCCTCGTCATCTGTTACACGTTCGAAAGAGTTTTAACATGTTTTTCGACTCCCAAGATCTCCATTCAAATCTGGTGGTGTAAAACGCAGTATTGCTGTCGAATTCAGTGTTCACTCCCATTTCGACGCTGGTAAGGAGGTTAACTAAATGTCTGTTGTCCAATCCCAAACACTGTGTGCACAAAGAAATTCTACTAGTAGTCCAAAATTCCTGCACCTACCGGCAAGACGAAATTCCTTCATCCGTCCGTGCACCTGCCATAACAGTATTCCATTCTGCGCATTTTGGTCAACCTCACACCGATAACTTCTAACCTAAGAGATTGCCTCAAACCTTTTTTCTTAATTTGAACATATTACTTCGTCGCTCAGTTTTAGTTTGTGCATAGTACTGGAAAATCAGCCGCCTGGGTCCATAAAACCTTTTCCAGCTTGACACGATTATCTGTAGAGGCTAGTTATTGTTTCATTGAAGTCTTGCTGATTACAAATTGAGTGACGGAGAAGTGATAGCTATGCTCTACCATTGACCAATCATAGTTAATGGGGAACTGAAGACTGCAATTACAAGAGATCGGCATTTTTCGAAAAAGCAACGAAACATTCTTACAAAAATGATCAAGAGAAAGTAAAAAACACAACTCGAATTCGGTTTACCTGACTTCCGCTTTGCTTTAACGATTGTGAACCGACCAAAAATTGCACGCGATCGATGTCCTCGGCTCCCAAAGTATAGTTCAAAATTCCATCATCAACTCCATCGTCCCGCTCCTGGTCCAAAAGCGCACTGAATGCTTCATCCAACCCATCCTCCCGGGTAGATCCGTACAAGCCCACCAGACAGCGTACATTCAACTACACAGGAGAAAGATTAGAGGTTAAAAGATGAACAGAAGAAGAAGCTACTATCCAATGATTTGTGATGCAATACTTTGTATGGGAGTTATGAATGACCATATTGACAACAAGGCTTCCGATTATTTTACTGCTCACACAAATAGAACCACAATGGAATAGCACGTTTTGCCAGCTACATACTAATAACCTTGCCTTACCTTAGCTGCCGCATAGCGAAGGAGCGAATCAAAGGTTTAAGACGAGATACACAATTAAGATAAAAATAGAGATGATAAATGAAACAGATCTCTGTACAAAGAAAGTAGATGCATGATCGCCAGTGATTACGACACAGTCATCTGCTGGGAAAGGAGGGTTCTTTGATATGGGAATACTGTTTGCACACGGTTAGTAACCAGGTTACACAACAATCTGTGCGTCATCAGATAGGTAAAAACTCGTTTTTACCAAAATACCGATCACTGAGCAATAAATGGAATGAGTCATGAGTCAATGTTATATTACAGTTCTTTTCAGTTTTAAAAACCATTAACCATGTACTTCAGTACGCCGGTTTTCGTTGATGTCTTTTGATTGCTCAGTTGGATAAAAGAGCAGGATGAAGATTTGAATGATGAAAGCAAATTCAAGCGGAAGATGGAGAATTTATATAGATTGGCGATAATTATATATATATATATATATATATATATATATATATATATATATATATATATATANGTGACCATCATCTCGGGGTCCCCAGCCAGGGAGCCTAACGGGACTTATGTGACCCAGTCTCCTTGTTAGGGTATAGTTTGTGCATTCTGAGTGTTGATCAGAGTTTCACGTTCTTTTCCGAACACAAATTAGGCCCAATCCCTGACCACCTTTCATATTATCACCAACCTTGTATGCGTTGCGAAGTTGGAAGCGATCAGTGAATTTCGCTTCAACGTATTTCGTTGTACGACGATGATTATGATGATGATGATACACTAACGTTGGTTTCCATCTTGAGGGCTATTCCACTCCGGTAGTTACGGTGATCATTCCTTCCAGAATGGTCTGATTTAATCCTTGTTGCCGGATTCAGCGACAAGATACGATTTGCAATCCTCTATTGACGAAATCCACTATGACTGAATCAGCACGTAGTCGATTTAGTGCGCCGTTCTGCGATTGCTGGAGTACCATGTGATATGCTTCCTCGGGTGCTGATTACGTAGAGCCGGACAAAATGAAAAGTTGGTTGATCTGTCACTATTTTTAAAACGAACACCAATCTCTAACGTCCCGGGAATGTGATACGTAGAAGTTTCTTGTGCTCCCGTGCGAGCGTTTTCGTCATTTGCTAATATGACCATATTCCTTTTAGGGATGCAGTTCTTCACTGTCTGAAGCCTATTAACTAGATATTGTGCGGCAAATCAGTAGTAGGATCTAACAGGTAACACCACTACTTGCCTTGAAAGGCGTGAGAGGGAGCTGGTCAGGTTTCGCTACTTTTCCTTCTTTCAGGGGACGAATGCAAGATCGGACTTCTGCTTCTGCCGGAGGATCGCACGACAGTTCTAATGGAGCTTCAGTTGCAGATAACGTTCAGTTTCAGTTTCACAACCATTAACCATGCACTTTCGTGCGCGGGTTTTGGTTGCTGTTTTCTGGTTGCCCATTTGGATAAACCAGCGAAATGAAGATTGGAATGTCGAAGCAAATTCAAGCGAAGATGGGTAATACATATAGAGTGAGATGGGTAATACATATATAGAGTGTGTTAGGAAAATAACGAGTGGATGCACGAGCGCCACTGTTTGCGACACCCAGCCATATCACTCAGTGTAGCTAACCATCGGTGACCATCGTCCCGAGGTCTCCAGCCAGGGAGCCTAACAGGGCCTATGTGACCTAGTCTCCTGGTTAGGGTTTTCATACCCTCATGCCAAGTCTCAGCTTGACCAACCTTGGCTTTATTCCACTCAGTGTCTGCTTCGGCGAACAT